GCCTTCCTTCGGGTCTTGCACTGCTTAATAAGGAACAGCTAGCGCAGATAGCCCTCATGTAGCTTTGCACGAAATTCAAAAACCAAACCAATCTGTGGTACCTACTTTCTCTATGGACACTTCTGGCCAGTTCTTCCACCTGCAACCTTTGCTTCTGGCTTTTTTCTTTTATGTTTGCTACACTCATAACTCAGTTATGTGACTTTCTGTCTCTTTTGCCTGTATATTATAATGACTCCATCTGTCCCACCTCCACATTGATGAACATCTTTGTCCTCCTTGTTTTTGTGACTTCTTTGCTATAGCCTAAGATCATGACCTTCTGTATTTCTTAAATCCCAGTCTTTTGTGTCCCGTCTGTCTATTTAGGCTGCTACTCTTTTTATTCTTTTTCTTTCTTTCCTACAATCTTCTCATCTTTGTCTTTTCTTTACTCCTTTGCTATATCCCCTCACCATGGCTATTTAGTGCAACCCAGATAATTATGTTGGGGCCACCTGTTCTTAAATGTTTACTCCTTTGGCTTCTATTTCTTCCTCTCATGTCTCTATTTTGACTTTTTTCTTTGTCTAGATGCTTTCCTTTTCAGTGTCTGCCTCCCTTCCCTTCTCTCTACTTGATCTGAGTTTTGCCCCTTTTCTCACTTACCAATCATTGGGGGGAGGGGCACAATTCTTTGGGCTGGGGCTGCTTACTGACAAGTCTTCCTTCCCACTTATGGTTCATTTTGTTTGCATTTCAAGAATGAACATGGAGGCTGTGTCACTCTTCTTTTTGGGGAAGGGCTACATTATTATGACAATTACATCATAGGTTGGCACAATACAAAGACATGTATATGGGTGGGTTTTTTTTTTCAGGGCTAGTGACAAATGCAGGAAATTCCGTGCAATTGGATGCAAGGTAATAGCTCTTTGTAGTGTAGAGAGGTAAGTATCTATCTGAAACACATTTTTCAGGTAACAAAAATACTAACATTTCTACCTGGTATGGCACAAGTTAGTGTATATGTTCTGAACTTATGAACTTTATTCAAGAAATCATGGAAACTAGTAAGTGACTGAAATTTAATGTTCCACATGCCAAATATATCATCTGTAAATATGTACCTATATTCCCTGTTGTTTTACAAGAATTAAGTGCTTTCAGTTTAAGTATATGCATAAATATTACAGCTAAGACTACTGCTATGCTATTCCCTGTAACTGTTCCTTTGATTTGTGTATAAAATTCTTTTTTAAACCTTACATACCTATTATCTAATTACCTAAAGGATCAATGCCATTTTAAGAATGTTGTTTATAAAGTAAATTGTAAATAAAGTTCTAGTTCTTATACGGGAGAAACCTTTCAACCTGTACATGGTAGAATATCTGAACACATACTTGACATTCAAAACCTCAATATTAACAATGCCATTGCTGAGTATTAAACTAAAGAACATGGGATATCACAAGCAGATAACATTTTATCAGATATCAAGATCTTATCTAAATCTTATAGTTTTCTTGACTGAAAGATTAAAGAATCCATTTTAATCAAGAAAACTAAACCTAAAATGAATTAATATAAAGGTTGACCTCTAGTGTAAAGATGTTGATTGCATTATTAAGATTTTAATGTTTGAATTTTGACAAATTCTATATACACTTTCATAATGACTAAAATATATTTTTCAACATTGTTTTGTGTGTGTATTAATGTAAAGGATGGAATAATAAAGATATCTGTAAACATATTTGTAGATATCAATATGAAGATCTATTTCATATATGTAATTTATCCTGTTCTAAGTGCCACGATTTCAGTAGTTCAACTGTTGATTTACATATTTATTTACTGTTGTTGGGTTTGTTTGTTTCAACAATTTAAATTCAAGAATGTTTGATATTTCAATATAATCTGCACCATTTAGACAAGTGTATCAGTGTTTAATTAACTAATGATGGTGTTCCAATTTAGTTTCAACTGGATTAGCAAACTTTAGTAATGAAACTGTAATAGCAAAATATTAAATAAAGTTGCATTCTGGAGATATAGGTCATTATTTTATTTACATTAATAAAAATGTTCCATAATAAGCTCCAGTTTATGTTTAAGTTAAGAATTATGGTACTTGCACCTCAATTGTTTGCAGTTATGTGTCAAATTTTGTCAGTATTTAGGTTCACTTAGTGTTATTGTTTGATGTAGTGTACAAATGACATAGACACTTAATTACATCAAAAGAGGAAAAAAATGCACAAGTTTTTTATAACTAGTTACTGGATTTACAGTAAATTGTTCAGTTTTGAATAATCTGTGCAAAATTTAGCCATTGCAATTTAGTGGGTACCTGGTTTAAAATTTATATACTAGTCAACTGTTTGGCATACTTTTTTTGTATATATGTGTCATGAGGCATAACTGTGATAGGTCTAATGTCAGTAGACATTAAGAATTATGATAATGTTACTTGTTTTTTGATACATGAAAAGAAGTAGAATTTTAGACTGTTATTGTGTTTAATTCCGCATTTATGGAGCATTGTAAATAAACTATTAAGTTAATTTCTCGGTGAGTGTGTGTTTCAAGTCCCAGTTCCAAATTATTCTTATGTTAGTGCTATATGTATGTAATAATACATTATTTAAAGTAACATGTAATTATTGTTTTTTACATCATATGAATTCCAGTGGTTTTTTTGTTGTTTTTGAGAATTGTGAGTTTCTACATTACTGACATTATTTCAAAAAGCAAATTTAAATGTTGTGATACTTTTTTATGTATATTACATGTGATGAAAATAGCAGTTGGTATGGAATTAAGTGCCTTTGGATGTCTATGGATAAACTAATGATTATGATAAAACTTTGTATGTGGTAATTTTTGAAATGATGATAAAGTACCAGTCAAAACAAAGAGGCATAATAACATTAGATAATTACTTCTGATTATAGGTAACTACCTATTTTGAAACATTACCTAATAAATGCTATTATCCAGCTTATCAGTTATTGTTTTTTTTTGTAATTTATATGCATTTTATACATATTTATACACCAAAAATTGTTTATTACTATTGTATTTATTTGTATACTTGTTTAGACTTCTGATTTGAAAT